AGTATTAAAGTAACGTCTGTAGAATACTTTACAGTTTACAGAGCACTTTTTCATATATTGTCATTTAACTGTTTTAATAGCCTGTGAGGTATAAGGGTTTTACCCAGGATTTGGGCAAGTGAGGAGGAAGAGGATGTCAAGTACCAAGATACTCGGTTCTTCTATACATCGATCTTGCTTCATTTTATAGCACCATGATCTATAAGGAAATGATACTATTCATAACTAAAGTACAGTGATAAGTATGTGGGCCCATGTGGCATTTACTTAGAGATATCATTTCAGGCTTTCATACTTTTATTTTGGAACGCTGATAAATCAATTGCCAAAAAAGTGAGTACCAACGTCTACAACAGACAAGAAGATTTCATTTCGTGCTAGCTATTTCTTATCAAAGATCAATTCGACACATATTATTAAATCATTACAAAGCATAGGTGAAGACTTCAAATATACTATGTAACAATTGAGCAAATATATAGGGGATTTAATAATGTTTCACTACTTGTAAAGCTGTCTTTGGTGGACTTGCTTCAGGAATCCCCAAAACAAACTGTTGAGAAAACTTAGTATTGGGGAATTATTCTTAATTCTTTTCAACAGAATAACTGTAAGTGTCGAATGGGAGAATCTGTAGACTATCTGAAAAATTTCCCATTGTAAATTAAATTGAAAGTGTAGGGGTATTAACTAAGAAACTACTAAAATCTTAACTATAGTATGATATAGAACACTAACTGTTCATAGTACTGCAAAGTAAACCAGTTACCGAGCCAGAATGTAATTATCTTATGATGAAAACAAGCAAAACCAAACCAAATCAAACTCTTACCTCAAAACTCTGAGGATTTTACATAGGGTAACTGTATTTTTTATTGTCCAAACCAAATTTATTTCTGAGACTAAAAAGCAGTGCACTTAATAATTAGGCACAGACTGGGAATGTCCCAGGCAAACCAGAGTGGTCTCCCTGTTATATGACACATGTCCCAGGCCATTCTGTTCTAAGATTACAAAAACAGGAAGCATGAGGGAACTCAAAGCATGGAAAAAAATCAAAGAAAAAATAAAACTTCCACAAAGTAAGTTTTCCCTCAGTTTTACAAATCAGTTTGAATTAATAACATTTCACTTAAACGAGGTCAAAGTGGGGAGGGGGCAGATGTGCTAAAATGAGGATGACTGCTTAAAGTAAATTTATGAAGCAGTCAGGTTCCAGATCCCTTCCCCCACCCCAGCAAAACACTGGAGGTTTATTTTCTTTAGAACACAGCAGTGGTTCTCTGCACAGGGGAACCTGGGCACAGCTCAGAGTATGTGCTATGCTGAAAACAAGGGTTCTGGCGAACAAACGCTGCATGCAGCGATACTCCCCCACCCCTACTCTTTTTCCCCTACTTGGCTCCCAGAATGTTGGCAGCCAGGCCTTCATTCTCAAGGCAAGACACTCGAAGACTCTTTTCTGGGGACTTTGACCAGCCTAGAAGAAAGATCTAAAGTTACTGAAATAGGAGGTTCCTCAGTCAACTAGCCCAGCCTGATGACCCTACTGTGAAACTCACTGTTAAGTGCCACTCCTATGCTCACAGCTTCCAATCAGCCTTTTTGTTCCTCGCTATTAAATATGAACAGACACACACAAAAAATTTCCAGATATCTAATGAAAGACTCTTATAAGGATGGAGACCAAAAGAAATATAAAATAAACAGATAAAAGTGGCTTAGAGTAAAAAAGAAGTAAACATTTTTTAAAAATCTGTGTCTTTCTCACAGAGATAAGAAGATACATTACAACTATGTAGCATGAGTAGGGTACTATAAAAGAACATGCAGAGAAGTTAAAAAAAAAGTTTTTGAAATAATAAACTCATAGAAGGGTTTTTAAAAGATAAATTTGGCTGGACACAGTGGCTCACTCCTATAATCTCAGCACTTTTGGAGGCTTAGATGGGTGGATTGCTTGAGGCCAGGAATTCAACAACAGCCCGGGCAACATAGTGAGACCCCATCTCTATCAAAAATAATTTTAAAAATTAGCCAGGGGATCACTTGAGACCAGGAATTCGAGGTTACAGTGAGATGCAAATCCACCCTGGGTGATCGACTGAAACTACTGTCTTAAAAGAAAGAAAAAAAAAGATAAATCTGAGGGAACAGAAAGTAGAGTAAAAAATAAAAGAGATGAGTAATAGGAGGGAAAAGATAAGAAAATTAAAGATCTAACATCCAAGTAATAAGAGTCCCAAAAAAATGAAGGGGAAGAAATCATCAGCAAAAGAATTTAAGAAAATTTCCCAGAACCAAAGGACAAGAAGAATTCAAAGAATCTGCAAAAACAGATAAAAAAAGACCCATGCCAAGGCAGATTATTGTGAAATTTCAGAACACTGAGATGAACGGACAATCCTAAAAGTTTTCAGGGTAAACAAGTCACAAAGGATAGGAACTGAATGGCAGTCTTATCAACAACAACGGAAACTAGAGAGCAAAGTAAAATTCTGCAGGAAAATTATTTCCAACTAGAATTCTATACTCAGTCAAACTACCAATCAAGTATGAGGAAAACATAAAGATATTTCAGTTATGCAAAGTTTAAAAATATCTATCACCTATAAAAGCTTTCTCAGGAAACCATGAGGGGGATTAACACCACAAAAACGAGGAAATGAACCAAGAAAGAGGAAGACATGGAACATAGGAGATAGGAAATCCAAGATGGTAAGAGGTGAAGGAAGATCCCAGGAAGACAGTTACATGCCAGATGTAGAAAGCAATTAGTTCAGATTGGAAGTTCAAGAAGATAAAACTGATAGAACACCTAAGTATCTGAATGTCTAGAATGAGAATTATACAACTGGTGAGATTACATAAACAAAAGAAACACGACAATAATTAACTCTGAAAAGATTTTAAAAAACATCAACAGAAAAACCAAAAGAGGAACAGGAAAAGAAAAATGATCATAGCTTACCACATGGTTCAGCTGTGAAAAGCACTTTTATAATCATAATAATGTAAATACTAATACTGACTTAAAGACACAATTTATATTAGAAGCCTTGAAGTATAAAAATTATACAGTGGGGGCAAAGGGAAGGGAAAAAGCATCCTTATCTCCTATAGAGAGGAATCCATAGATAATGCCAAAAACTGAAAAATCAAAAAATATAGTCATGCTGTTTTTTTTTTTTTTTTTGAGACAGAGTCTCACTGTGTTGCCCGGGCTAGAGTGCCATGGCGTCATCCTAGCTCACAGCAACCTCAAACTCCTGGGCTCAAGCGATCCTCCTGCCTCAGCCTCCCGAGTAGCTGGGACTACAGGCACGCGTCACCATGTCCGGCTAATTTTTTCTATATATTTTTAGTTGTCCAATTAATTTCTTTCTATTTTTAGTAGAGATGGGGTCTCACTCTTGCTCAGGCTAGTCTCGAACTCCTGAGCTCAAACAATTCTCCCGCCTCGGCCTTCCAGAGTGCTAGGATTACAGGCGTGAGCCACTGCGCCGGGCCAGTCATGCTGTTTTGAAAATGGAGCTAATCAACTAAAGTTAAAAAGGTCAAAGTGCAGAAAAGGAAATGGGTAACCCCAAGCAGAGGGAACTTGCTTGCTGTTTTTTGTAATAATAACTTTGTAGAATTACTGGTCTCTAAATAATAAGCATGCACGCAATTTTGTTAAACTATTTGATAAAAACAAAACAGGAAAAAAGAAATGAAGGGACTTATAAGAGACATTTTAATTTAAATGTCAAATTGCTCGAACTTCAGTCTTTATCAAACTGTTTTTCCCAAAACGAAACTTAGACCAATGTGTATATTACTTGAATATGATTATCTACCCTCATCCATACTCTCACAGTGTGATTACAGACAGACAATTTTCTAAATCTTACCTCAAGTAGAGCTGCTGCAGGATCACCCTGTAGACTTTTTCCCAGTTTGTCAACCTCATCTAATAGGAACACTGGATTGTTAACCCCAACAGTTTTCAGGCCATTGATTATTCGACCAGGCATACTGCCCACATAGGTGCGCCTACAGAAATCAAGCAGCAAGGTCACAACAATGAGATGTCAGGAGGCAAGAGCGATACTAGTTAGAAATCAAAAAGGTACCATATATTTATAAAGGCACTGTAATATATGAAAAAGTTATTATTATTTTAAATGTCAGTAGTGGAACGATCCACCCTTTTTACTTACAAAGGGTGAACAGAAAGCTACTATATTTCTCTAGGACATTTACAATGAGTTATCTTCACCTTGAGAAGAAACTGTATAAAAATAAATGTCCACAGCAAGTTATTAGATTCAATTCTAATCTTACTTTCTATTTAAATTCTGGCTGCAAGTTGCCCATGATACTGGAAGAACTGTATCTCATTTTTGCCATTTAGTGAAATAGAAAAACACTACACTTAAGTCACCAGTTATGGTTTTTACTCTTCAAGGCTCCAAAATGTCCAAAGGACCTTATGAATTTAATTCCCATGCTTTTCGTGGTTTTTCAGAGCATCCCCCTACCTCCAACACAATGAATGACCTTTTTATATGCTGAAACAGCTGCCCCAGGGCTGGTTAAAACATCACCATCTTCACAAAGGAGATCAAAATTAGCTGAAGGGCCGCTCAGAATGTAGACCTCCCCCCCAAAAAAAATCCAAACTCTTTTAAGAGGCAATAATCTGTTATTAATTGTATTACATTGGTGCAAGAGTAACTGCAGTTTTAGCATTGTTGAAATTTGCCATTTGATATTGGAATACATTCTTAAATAAAGGTGGTTATGTTATAAATCATTTTAATGCACATTACTCACTTTATGTTTTTTTGCTAATGACTTATTACTTACTATTTATATTTATTTTAGACTATGGAAATGATGTTAGACCAAAAGCAAATTTGAGCAATTTTCTTATTTGAGTTCAAAATGGGTCAGCAGAGACAACTCACAACATCAACAACGCATTTGGCACAGGAACTGCTAACGAACGTACGGTGCAGTGGTGGTTCAAGAAGTTTTGCAAAGGAGACAAGAGCCTTGAAGACGAGGAGCACAGCAGCCGGCCATGGGAAGTTGACAAAGACCAGTTGAGAGCAATCATTGACGCTGATCCTCTTACGGCTACAGGAGAAGCTACCCAAGAACTCAACATCGCTCATCCTATGGTCATTTGCCATTTGAAGCAAATTGGAAAGGTGAGAAAGCTCTATAAATGGGTACCTCATGAGCTGACCGAAAATCAAAATGATCATCGTTTTGAAGTGTCGTCTTCTCTTCTCGTATGCAACAACAATGGACCATTTCTCGATGGGATTGTGATATGCGATGAAAAGTGGATTTTATACAACCAGGCAACAACCAGCTGAGTGGCTGGACCAAGAAGCTCCAAAGCACTTCCCAAAGCCAAACTTGTACCAAAAAAGGGTCATGGTCACTGTTTGGTGTTCTGCTGCCAGTCTGATCCACGACAGCTTTCTAACTCCCTGCGAAACCATTACATCTGAGAAGTATGCTCAGCAAATCCATGAGATGCGCTGAAAACCGCAATGCCTGCATCTGGCATTGGTCAACAGAAAGGGCCCAAGTCTTCTCCATGACAACACCCAACCACGAGTCGCACAACCAACGCTTCAAAAGTTGAACAAATTGGACCACGAAGTTTTGCCTCATCTGCCATATTCACCTGACCTCTCGCCAACCAACTACCACTTCTTCAAGCGTCTTGACAACTTTTTGCAGGGAAAACGCTTCCACAACCAGCAGGATACAGAAAATGCTTTGCAAGAGTTCTTTGAATCCCAAAGCACGGATTTTTACACTACAGGAATAAACAAACTTCTTTCTCATTGGCAAAAATGTGTTGATTGTAATGGTTCCCATTTTGATTAACAAAGATGTGTTTGAGCCTAGTTATAATGATTTAAAATTCATGGTCTGAAACTGCAATTACTTTTGCACCAACCTAAGAGTAAAAGGATCTGGATTCAACAGTATTTATATCAAAATTCCATCATTCTGGCCTTTTGACTAAAACTGTATTTATCTCATAAACACTAATTGGCGCAACCAAGTTCAGCCTGATATTTTGGTGAACATTAAAATGTTAGGGGCTGCTTTATCACATTTGAACAAGAATCGCTCATGAAACTGTGACAGATGTAGAATGTGGCATGAAATAAAAACAAACATGTCTATCAAACTGAAAAAAACTTTTTTTTTTTAACAGAGCTGGCAAAACTTTATTTTAAGCAGCAATTTACTAATTTTAATTACAACCTTGTTGCGTAAGTCATGCATAAAGGCAGAAAAGGCTGACTGCCTGGAAGAAAATGATCGATGATAAGTGGAACAGCAGCAGATATTATTTCATGATCTGCACAAAGCTGATTCACAGAGCAGGCCTCAATTCTGCCACATGATTGGTATAAAGTAGGACAGAATAAATAGAGTGACCTTCGAAAAGACAAAAGAGCCTTAAAAATATCGTGGGAATGCCTTTCATCCAGAGAAGGTGACCAAGGCACTGGAACCAGATACAATAAACATTGTCCTGTTACAATAAGGAATTAGCAAATCCAAGATTTCAGAATGAGATACGGGAAGGATGAGACTCAAAATTAATAAATTCTTTCAAATTATTTCTCTAGAGAACGTACAGATTTGCCATTATTCCAATTTTCAGGAGTGGTAGGGAAGGGAAATTTTTTAAGAATCTTAAAGACTCTATGGGTCATTTCTCTGTCCCCCACCCTGCTCTGCTTCGTCCATGTTGAGAATATGGGGCATTTCTTGCTGCAGTAATGTACTGCCTTTCCTTTTTTGATGGGGAGACTTCAAAAACAAGTACTGACAATTCTAGACCTAAAGTTATGGAGAGAAAATAATACTCTATGGAGGCACCTTTTCTAAACAAATCTAGAAACCTAGATTTTGGTCACACTGTATATAAGCAGTTCCTCCTTAACATTCTACTGTTTCCCAGAGCCCACAGAATAAGGTTCAAACTCTTTGTCTGGAGTTCAAGGGTCTTACAATCCACACCCCACCGGCCTTCACAACTTACTGCTATGACTGTCTTGCTTCATCCACAATCAAGATCCGATTGCACCCCTTACAATGTTTACCTTTGTTAATATGGTTTCTTCCTGCCTATATAAATCCCAACGTTCTAAGAAACTTATCCTGACTACCTCTCACAAAGTGATTGTTCCAATAATGCACTGTCTACCGCATTTTCTGGCCCTGCAATTCATCTGATGCACACTTACAACCTAGTTTTTACTCATGGGTACTATTCCTTTCTCTAAAGAGCCAGTGAGCACTTTGATGGCAGAGACTGGGCCTTGTCACAGAACAGATGCTGGCTACAAAGCTGTAAGACTGTTTCCATCTTTCTATCACCACTGTTCAGGTGATACAAGCCTTTGAACACTACTCTGTGCAAATTACTTGACCTAAGTCTCAGTTTCCTCATCTATAAAATGGGGATAATAATAGTGCCAGCCTCATGGATTACATGAGGATTATGAGAGAACATAGGTAAAGCACAGGGCATAGAGCCTGGTACACAGTAAGCTTTTAAAAGATGTTAACTGTTACTAGCAACAGCTACTTAAACTAGGAACAGCTACTTCTGGTTTCCTAGAAAAAGTACAAGTGCAGAAATCAATACATATGAATTTAAGTCCCATTTCAATTTCTTCCTCATGGAAGCAACTTTTACAAATGTATTTAATAGCACCAAGCATGCTCGATGCCTTTAGTGCTCCTCAATCACAGGTGACGTCTCCTGAATGTAAACCACTATTCTAGAGGTCAAACCAAGACAACCATTACCACAGAGATCATAAGCTACTGAAAAGGAATATAATGTACTTCACGTCAAAGTAGAGAATATCCACATTCAGCAATACCTGAATTTGCCACTTTTTATTGACATTTTGAGTCTAACCAAGGTGGTCAGACATTGGTTAGACAGCCAGTGATTTGGGCTTCACTAAAAAGTGTATTTCTTTTCAGAGAAAATAAAAATGATTGATCCAGTAATAACTAGCTAGATAATTATTTAATGGAAAGATTTAACACTTTTTCTGGTTATTAAAAGAGAAGAACTTCTAATTTGTCAGAAACCACTCTAGAAATGTAACAGTCAATATCTTATATATGCTGAGTTTGTTTGAAAATGTTTTTCTATTCAGGACTATCTTTTGCCAGAAGGTACAATACCATGCAATTCACTAACTGAAGATACAGAAATCACTTTGAATAAATCTGTGTAATAGAATATGAAATAAGATGGTGAAAAATGTAGCAATACACAAAATAAAATGTTCTCTTTCAGTATCACCAAACAACTGCAACCATTTCTTAACAAATTAACATAGTAAAATATCCTCCTGAGAAACTACACTGGTAGAAAATAAATGAAACTAGTACTCTTTAACAACCTATAATTTTCTTAAGGGCAAAATATTAATCTTTTCTATATTCTGCTTCCTCATGATACAGCATCTGGAAAGCAACAGTATAATACAGTAAAGTTTACAAAGAATATATCATTTTAATGACTTATTATTCAGCCTAAATGTAAGATTACCTAAAATTTTTTCCTAAAATTGATGCATGTTAATTTAAAAATACACTGAATTCATACTTTTCTTACAATTATTGCAGGTAATACATAGATTTATCCGGACTATTCAACTAGTGTATAAGATACACAAAACCAAAACTGTCTATACAGTTCAAAATTTTGAGTGATGAGTATTTTTTATTTTCCAAAAAATAGTCTGGTTTATGCTTCAAAAAACAACTACAGAGAATTACAACATGATCTGTTTACAGCCCCATAGTAATCAACTATTTTTTACTATTCTGCCCTCCACCTAAATATCTTCGAATCTAATGCAATCCAAAAGGCTGGTCAACCTGTTACTGTCAATGACATCTAAAAATTAGGAATAAAATGTGTCTTCACTCACTTCTTTTCCAAGTATGTAAAGAAGAGAGAAAAACACATGCATTTAACTATCAATTTTTTCTGCCTATTCAATTAAAGGGCGCTTATTGGCTATAATGCAAACCTTTAAAGTGATATTAACAAAGAATTTGTAATATGAAAAACGTTTATGTGAAAAAGTTAAGTGGAAAGGGTAGGATTACAAGTCTGTTGCTTAAAACCCAATAAAAAGTCTGGCAGAAAAGAAACAAAATGTTAACAGTGAATATCTTTTTATGGTAAAAAAAAAAAATGGGGACTTTTATTTTTTTTATTTTTCAAATTTTCTACCAAGGCGGGGTGTGTGTGTATGTGTTTGTCTCAAATTGGAAAAAGTCATCGGTTTAACAAAGATCCTAAATAGTCTTTAAGGAACTGAGATTTTAATATAACGCGTCTAAACAAATCCAATTGTTATTCTTCTAGCAGTCATTCCTAAATCTTTTTATAGACTAATTTATATGGATGTACTCATCTAAAGGACAGCATGACTTCGACTTCCAAAATATAATTATGTTTTAATCTTACATTAATTCTGAAAATACTTAGAGAGCATTTACCATGTTTAGCACTGTGCTAAATAAGCATCATAGGGTATATACAAAGGAGTATAAGATATATAATAAATCCCCTGCCTGACAAAGCTTATACTTTTTATATATGTATTTATGTTTTATATACACAGCTGTATGTTAGAAATGCCAGAGGCCTATATTACTTAATCATTAAAGGAGTACAACAGACAATAAGTGGTCAGTTCACAGAAGAGTAAGATCATAACTGATTACACTTATATTAAGACGGGAAGCCTTGGGTTAGGACCTTAAAATAAAACTAAGTTTTAGGCAAAGAAAAGCTATATTCAAATCTATAAGGAGGATAGTGAGCAAACCATAATATGTCTGATATACTATGCTAAAAAAAATATTAAAAGCTTGCTGCTTCAGTTATTTTTCCCTTGAAGAGACTAATAATGAAATAGTTAATTTATTTATAACTTCATTTCATATTGCATATGAAAATTTATCAATGTGGAAATCATAAGTTTGTTTTTCTTATCATCTTATTTGAAAATTGAGCCAAGGATTCCTTGCAATGATAATAATTTTATTATCTGAACAAACAGCTGGTAAAGTACTTCCAGAGAGTTAATATCAACAGTGATTTGAGATCTCATAATATATCTCAAGGATTCCTTGTAATGATATAATTTGATTATGTGAAAAATAGCTAGTAAAGTACTTCTAAGAGTTAATATTAACAGTGACCTGAGATATATCTAATATATCATAATAAGCATATTATTTCTTTTTACCAATGAATAAGAAAAAGAGATGATTATGCAAACATGATTTTATAAAACTTCAACCTAAAAGAAGTTATTTTATATTTAATTTTTGTGAGCTGATTTACTTAAATGTAATATTTAAATATAAAAATTTAAGTTGTAAAAACTGATAGAAGGGAACAGGTGTTTTGTGGCTTGTAGACAGAAAAATCCCAATGGAGATAACCCCAAATGAGAAATGTTGAGAAGACTGAAAAACTGAATGAGTTAATATGGAACATAAACATTTTTCTTCCTTTAAGCCACTCAAAATAATATAAATAAAAACAATGAGCAAATGTTAGTCAGATCATTACTATTTTCCCAGTCTAAGATTTAAATGTAAACAAAGCTTTTCCTTTTCTTCACCATCTCCCACCTCATTACCATTTAACTCTAAAAAATATCTTTGGCTGTTCTTAAAATCAATTTCCTACGTGTTAGCACCTTCCTTCACATAAGCAGGTACTTCTAGCAAAAGGCTGGAGGTCCACGCATGGGAAAATAAGGAAAGTGAGTGACAAAAATGGAGAGAATAAGCAAGGAAGATAACATAGAGCAGCGCTGCTTTTTCTTTGGCTATTTAAAAGCTGCAGAACAGTGGTGCCTACTCAGAGACTGAGGAAAACAAAACTTTTCATGAACTCTCATTATGAGCACATGACCAGTACTAAGATGCCAAGACCTGGGTGTCTCCTGAATGCCTCAATTGTCACATGTTCCCACAGATGCCGCCCACAGTTGTGCTGTGACCCTCTACTGTTCTTCCTCCCTCCTACTCACCTTCACTTCGTACACACACGCATACTCCGCCTTCACTCTCACCTCTTCTTCACAACTGCATTCCACACGCTTCCAAACAGGTTCTCCAATAAACATTTTACCAGACTTTAATTTAGGGGGTCGGTGGGTAGTAAGTCCCCAGTAGCCAAGAGCAGGTTGCTGTAGTGTTTAAGGAATGATCTCGTACAGCGATGGCTAGGGATCACTTACCAGAAAGCTGTATCTAAAATCAGGTTTAGAGAATGATTCACAAAACAAATCCAGACACCTTTTATTTTATTTTATTTTTTTATTTTGAGATAGGGTTTGGCTCTGTCACCCAGGCTAGAGTGCAGTGGGGTCACTGGACCTCGCTGCAATCACAAACTCCTGGGCTCAGGCGATTCTCCTGTCTCAGCCTCCCAAGTAGCTGGTGGGACTATAGGCACATGCCACCATGCCTGGGTAATTTTTCTATTTTTTGTAGAGACAGGGTCTCATTCTTGCTCAGGCTGGTCTCGAACTCCTGAGCGCAAGCGATCTTCCTGCCTTGGCCTCCCAGAGGGCTAGGATTACAGGAGTGCCTGGTCCTAGATACCTTTTATTTGGCAATGATCACGGCCTCAAGATATACATTTCTAAAAAGCTTAAATTTACAAATATTTTAAGCAACAGTGATTGTAACATAACCTCCTTTTACAAAGGACTCACAAAGTAAATTCTTATTTTCTTCAGACTCAATTTTCTTTTCTTTCTTTTTCTTTTCTTTCTTTTTTCTTTTTTTTTTAGAGACAGGGTCTTGCTGTATCACCCAGGATGGTCACAAACTCCTGGCCTCAAGTGATCCTCCCACCTCCCAAGGTGCTGGAGTAGTTGGGAGTACAGGCACACACCACCACACCCAGCTTATTTTTTTAAAAAAATTTTTTCAGAGATGAAGTCTCGCTATGTTAGACTCGATATTCTTAACAGTCACACACAAAAGTATACTTACTTGAAAAAGAATGAACAAATTGTCAGTAAAGATTTAAAACAGATCTGTTTAAAATCAACAATGTTCATAAATTGTGAGAACCATGACATTATACTTGTCTATCACTAGGCAACAGAAAAATACATTTTTCCACAATTCTGCCATATAAACTAAGTAATAATGCTGAGAACAGGATAAATATTTTAGAATGCAATGTAAAAATGAGATTGAAATTTACAAAAAGTCATACTGATGCTTGTAAATCTAAACTTGTCCTCCTGAGAATTTAGAATTAAAGTAATAATAGTTGAAACTAATTTTTAGTGAATGCTCACTGTGTGCCACGTATCTAATAAACCTTACTGAATAATAAATACCAGTGTGGAAAGAAATAAGGACAAATTACATATATACTATGTGCCTAAGACATCGATTCCACATAACATTAATTACATAAACTCACCCTTTAAATCCCCTCAAATACTTGCACGATACTATACTACAGGTAAGAAAAGAAATCAACTAGAACAACTCAGGGTATGAATCAAGTCACCTGAATGAAGAACACCTCCCAAAAGCTCTGTAGCTAAAATTAGAACATTCAGGCCCCAGGCGCAGCTTCTCCAAGGTTAGTCCAAGAGTGATGATGGCAATTTCTTTACACAAGCAAACTACAGCCTCTAGTGGCACATGCGAGAATAAGAGCGTCCAAACAACAAAAATATCTTTCAAAACTACCAAAAGGAATCACCCAGATCAATGCTCCACCCTGATCTGCAGCCCTCACTGCTCATTTACTAAAATCTTGGAATGATTCTTTTTTTATGCATAAGAATTATAAGTGAGCAAATGAAAGATAATAAAAATAACCATTTCTCACAGAAAAGTTTCTAAAACAGTCTTTGAATAAGGCAAACAGAAAATTGTTAAAAAAGCATCGTATGTTTTTATAAGCAGTTCATAGTTTCTGCATTTTTAAATGTTCTACATTTTAAAATGTTCTTTAATATGTACACTATAGGTATGTTTCTCACAACTTGCAACTGCTATGAAACCCTTAAACAATGAAACATAAGTTCATGTTTTCCTGGGTATCTTCCAATCATATCAATAGAAACACGAGGGAGAAAAAAACAATGAACATAACATGCAAATCTGAGTTTACTAATGTCAGATTAATCAGAGACACAGTTCTTACAGTTTAATATGTTTTTTACAGAAGTGAGTCCGTAATGCAAGAATAAGCCTTATTAACTACACTAACGTTTCTCCTTATTGCTCATTTTCATAATACAAATCAGCCTTCATAAAAGGAATTTGAAACTGTAACCGGAACAAATTTGTTATCGAAGATTTCTTACCTTCTCCTATCTGCCCTACCAATTGTAGTTATTTTTTTAAACTCTAAGAGTTATGGGTCATTATTTATGGAATGCTACTGAGCTAAAAAGAATATAGACATTATAATATCCAATCATAAATAATTTATAATTACATTCAAATGGATTCTAGGGAAGCTGAGGCACAGACTAGCTATACACTGTCATACAAATGTCAAGGTTAGTTTGGGTATACTATCAACGCTTACAGGCTCTAGGCTAGCTAACAGTAAGTCTTGTAAATGTCCTTTCCATTAAAGGTACCAAAAATAGCCCTTTAAGAAAAATAGATATATGTTATGCCTCAGCTTTTCTTTGGGCTTTAGTCAACTAACAGGAAAGAAGAATCAGAGATTAAACTGAGAAAAGTATTCTACCTGTGTCCTCGGATGTCAGACTGATCGCATACTCCTCCAAGTGCAATCCTGTGGAACTCCCGACCTAGGGTCTTGGCCACTGATCTTCCCACACTTGTTTTGCCAACCCCAGGAGGGCCAACAAAGCAAAGAATTGGGCCCTTCAGGTTATTTTTCAGCTGTCTGACAGCCAAGTATTCCAGCACTCTTTTCTTCAATTTTTCCATGGCATAATGGTCATTATCCAGAAGAATCCGGGCTGCCCGAATATCCAGGCGGTCTGTCAAATAATCCAACAGAAATAATTTGAGCACATGGAATTTTGAAGTGAAAGAACTCCTTGCAAATCTGACAAGAGCCAAAATATTTTTTAGAAAAAA